ACCCCCGGGCAGTCACAGCCAGGGAAGGGGCAGGGCGGTGCCAGCACCAGCCTACAGGCTCCTGCCCGGCTGGCCAGCACCTGGGAAGCCCCAGGAGGAGCGCAGGACGGGCTGCTTCCCAGCACCCGTGGGAGCTGACAGGACTCCCGGGAGCTCGGCCCTGGCCCTGCTGAGCTCGAGGCGCCTCTGCTCCCACCGCGCAGAGCCAGTTAGCCCAGCTGCTGACCGCCCCACAGCACCCTGGGAAAGCACGTCGGTGAGGCAATGCCTCCTTTCTGTGGGAACCCAGGGCAAGGCTCCCTCCACCCACTGACCCTCCTGAAGCCCTGAGGCCAGTGCAGGCCACACACAGGGCTGCCCAGTGCCCAGCGCAGGTCTTGGGCTGCCTCCCCAGTGAGTGCAGCTGCTGCCTCAGCCAGGATCGCTGTGCAGCCTGTGAGAGGGACAGGGCTGGTCAGAGATGAACACTGGGCCCTCCTGTCCACCACAGCCCAGCCCCACAGTGGTGAGCAGCTGGCCAGGCCCACACCCTCCCCCACCACACTGTGCAGTCTGGGGCTTCGCAGGCAGAGCCCGGCTCGGGACGGGCAGGGGAAGGAGAAGAGGTGGGACTATGGCAGGGGTGGGCAAACTTTTTGACTTGAGGGCCACAATGGGTTCTTAAACTGGACCGGAGGGCCGGAACAAAAGCATGGATGGAGTGTTTGTGTGAACTAATATAAATTCAAAGCAAACATCATTACATAAAAGGGTACGGTCTTTTTTTTTTTTTTAGTTTTATTCATTTCAAACGGGCCAGATCCGGCCCGCGGGCCGTAGTTTGCCCACGGCTGGGCTATGGCCAGGTGTCCACTGTCTGGGGCAGGTGGGCATGGGACCTCCCACCCCAGCGACTTCTGGGAGCTGACGACCCACCGCCCACCATGGCTTCTCCTTGGCCGCCACAGCACACGCTGCCCACTGCTGGAGGAATCGCGTGACCTGCTGTCACCATGAAGCCCCGAGCCTGGGGCCCAGGGGTCGGTGGGCTGCCAGCCCCACGGAGCAGGCAGGGACACAGCTCTCCGACCGGCCTGGTGCGGGAGCTGGGCAGCACCCTCTCTGCCTTTGGGAGCCAGGCTCAGGGGCACAGGTGCAGCCTATGCCATCAGGGTGCCCAGGGACAGCACTGGGCCCAGCGAGGCCAGAGGAGGCGGCATCTGGGAGCTGGCCCTGAACCCCCGGGCGCTGCACTGAGAGAGTCGCTCCCACGTGGGGGCCCTGAGGCCGTGAGCACCCCTGGCTGGGTTGCTAATTGCCGCAATTACACGGGCGGTAAATTGGAAACCACTGCTGAGGTCTAGGAAAGGCTCTCTCCTCTCCTGCCTCCTCCAGCGCCTGCCCACCCGAGACAGGCCCCACGGGGTCCCCGTGCAGCCATCAGCAAGCGCTCCCGGCCGTTCCTCAGGCACCCTCTCCCGCCCCCCAGCCGCCCATGGACAGCTGAGGGCAGAGTGAAACCGAGGCCCTCAGCTCCCTTAGCACATGGTGGCCCAGGGCCCCCACCCAGTCAAAGTCTGACCGAGCCCTCTGAGCCCACAGAGCCAGGCCGCGGGAGGGCGGGGAGCAAGGAGGGGAGCGAGGAGGCGGGGAACCCTCACCACTCCGTCCCCAGGCGCCTGCGGCCCCAGCCTGCTGAACAATGCAGTTTTGAATTCAATTAAAGCGATTATCTGTTGTGCCAAATAAATTGTGTACAGCATATATCCTGCAGCACGCTACACCTCCGGGCTCATTATTCCCTAACTGTTTCCTCCTGTTTATGCGCTCTCAAATTAAACTGCTGATAATATGCGCCAAAATAAAAAATGAGCACACCTTGTCCCAGGAAAATTGATTCTCCCTTTCCCTGAACCGGCGATTGCCAGGTTTTATACACTCTGTTCCTGGTGATCATTAGTAATTCAATTTTCTTTTTATTAGCCCCTTATCTGCTGAGCAATATAGTGGCGGAGCTGACCTCTTTCGCACGGGTAAATGTTTAAAATCTTTTCCCTGATTAATTTTGCCAGTTAAGAAAAAGAGGAGAAATGGCCCGGCTCTCAGCCATCACAATGAATAAAGCTTAATGTTGATTGTGATGGAATCTCTAATGCCAGGGAAATTGATTGAACGCGGCAATTACACCGCAACAGCCACTCCAGGGAGATGGGCTGGCCTTCTCCTGGCCGCAGCCTTTTGGTTATTTAAAACAATCCAATTTGCAAGGATAATTATGTATTAGTGTTTTATCTGCCACTTGAAATGAACAGGGGAGTTTCGATACTGGCCCCGCATTAGCAGGTTATTGCTGCAAATTACTTGATATCTGCTTTCTTTCACATAAACAGGAAATTAGGCAATCAATCACCAGAAAAAAGAGGGACGGAGGGATAGGAGGGGCAAGAGCGCCCTCTGCTGGGCACCCGGCCGCACGGCAGGGTGTGGGGCTGGGGCTGGGCTTCCCCCACCTGCACCACAGGGGGCGCCCTCTCTCATCACCTTGCCACGAAGTCCACACTCGCAGGCACAGGGGCGGGCGTGGCAGCCAAAGGGCAGGGGGACAACCAGCCCTGCAGCCTGGCCTCACGCCTCGGGGCCCACACCCACCCTCCAGTGCCAGCTCCCACAGGCCCT